AGGGATATAGATAAGGAGCCAGCGACTCTTCAGTCGGTTCCTATTGTGAATGAATTCCCGACGCTATTCCCTGGCGAGCTTCCAGGAATTCCCCCCGAAAGGGAAATTGATTTCGCTATAGATTTGCTTCCTGATACATAACCTATATCCATTCCTCCCTACAGAATGGCTCTTGCAGATCTAAGGGAATTGAAGGAACAACTGAAGTACATGATCAATAAAGGCTTTATTAGGCCAAGTACATCCCCATGGGGTGCTCCGGTGCTCTTTGTTCGAAAGAAAGATGACTCCTTGCGGATGTGTATTGACTATAGGCAACTAAATAAAGTCACTATCAAGAATAAGTATCCTCTTCCATGGATTGATGACTTGTTCGACCAGTTACAAGGTGCCAAATGTTTTTTGAAGATTGACTTGCGATCCGGTTATCATCAGCTACGAGTCAGGGATATTGATATCCCAAAAACAACATTTAGGACGAGGTATGGCCATTTTGAATTCCTTGTCATGTCTTTCGGGCTTACAAATGACCCAGCAGCCTTTATGGATCTTATGAACTGGGTATTCAAACCATTCTTTGATGAATTTGTGATTGTGTTTATTGACGACATCCTGATATATTCACGATCGGAAGCCGAGCATGCGGACCACTTGCGAGATGTATTGCAGACTCTCCAGGACTACAGGTTATATGCTAAATTCTCTAAATGTAAATTTTGGCTAACTTCTTTAGCTTTTCTTGGTCATGTTATTACCGGTGATGGTATCAAGGTTAATGGCCAAAAGATTGAAGTTGTGATGACTTGACCGAGGCCCTTAAATCCGATAGAGGTTCGTAGCTTTTTAGACTTGGCAGGATATTACCGAAGGTTTGTGGAGGGATTTTCCTCTATCTCTGCACCATTGACGAAACTGACACATAAGGGAGCTAATTTTCAGTGGACTGAGGCATGTGAACAAAGTTTCCAGGAGCTAAAGAAAAGGCTTACGACGACACCTGTCTTGACTCTTCCGGATGGCACCGGGGGTTATGTTGTATATTGTGATGCCTTGAGAGTTGGACTAGGTTATGTTCTTATGCAGCATGGTAAGGTTATTGTGTACGCCTCCAAACAGTTGCGGAAACATGAACAGAACTATCCTACGCACGATCTTGAGTTAGCCACAGTTGTCTTCGCCCTAAAGATTTGGCAACATTATCTATATGGGGTTCATATTGATGTTTTCACCGACCACCAGAGCCTTCAGTATTTATTTAAACAGAGGGAGCTGAACCTACGACAAAGAAGATGGCTAGAATTACTAAAGGACTATGATGTTGATATTTTATATCATCCCGGCAAAGCTAATATTGTTGTTGATGCCCTTAGCCGGAAGTCCATGGGAAGTCTAAGCCATGTTGAAGCTGATAAGGTCAAGATGACCAAATATCTATGCCAGCTAGCTAATTTACAGGTGTGTTTGGTAGACGCAGAGGGTGGACGCATTCTCGTTCAAAATACAGTAAAATCTTTTTTTGTTACTGAAGTAAAAGAGCGACAACACGAGGATCCTAAGCTTATAAAACTGAGGTAAAGTATTCCACAGCAGCGACAATCTTTATTTGAGCTAACTGGAGATGGAGTCCTTAGATACCAGGGCCGCTTATGTGTACCAACAGTCGGAGAGCTCTGCGCCAAGATTCTTTCAGAGGCCCATTATTCTAGATATGCAGTTCACCCCGGAGCGACAAAGATGTATCGGGACCTTCGACAGATCTATTGGTGGAATGGAATAAAAAAGGATATCGCAAAGATGGTAGCCCAATGTCCCAACTGCTAGCAAGTTAAAGCCGAACATTAGAGGCCTGAAGGCCTAACTCAGTATATTGAACTTCCATTATGGAAATGGGACATGATAAATATGGACTTCATCACTGGTTTGCCTCGCACTCCACGGAGGTATGATTCTATTTGAGTAATTATTGATAGACTTACAAAATCTGCTTATTTCCTGCCAGTCAGGACGACATATTCAGCTGAGGATTATGCCAAGCTTTACATCCGAGAGATTGTTCGCCTTCATGGAGTATCATTATCTATTATCTCTGATCGAGGGGCTCAATTTACAGCACATTTTTGGAAATCTTTTCAAAGGGTCTAGGCACGTAGGTAAATCTTAGCGCCGCTTTTCATCTGCAAACTGATGGACAGGCAGAGCGTACTATTAAGATAGTTGAGGATATGTTATGTGCCTGCGTGCTAGATTTTAAAGGAATTTGGGATGATCATCTACCTCTTATTGAGTTCGCTTATAATAACAGCTTCCAAGCTAGTATTCAGATGGCCCCTTACGAAGCACTATACGGGCGAAAGTGTAGGTCGTAGATCGGTTGGTTCAAGGTCGGGGAAGAAGAGTTGCTAGGTCCTAATTTAGTCCAGCAAGCAATGGAAAAGGTAAAAATTATTAAAGACCGGATGCGTACAGCACAAAGTCGGCAGAAGTCTTATGCAGATGTTCGACGACGAGACTTAGAGTTTGATGTAAAAGATGGATTTTTCTAAAAGTATCGCCTATGAAGGGCGTCATGCGATTTGGAAAGAAGGGGAAGCTCAGCCCCAGGTATGTTGGACCGTATAAGATTATTCGGAGGATTGGTTGGGTGGCGTACGAGCTTGATTTGCTTTCAGAATTGGAAGCAGCCCATCCTGTGTTTCATGTATCTATGTTGCGGAAGTGCATTGGAGATCCTTCACGTATTACGCCCATGGAGGATATTCACATTGCTGAAGACTTATTTTATGCAGAGGTACCGGTAGCTATTTTAGATTGGCAGGTAAGAAAGCTTCGAACTAAAGAAGTGGCTTCCGTGAAAGTGTTATGGCAAAATAACAACATCGAGGAAATGACCTGGGAAGCTGAGGAGGAAATGAGGAAGAAGTACCCCCACCTATTTACGACTTAAGGTGAGTCGCATTTAAATAATTGGCAATTATTCCTTTACAACAACTTAATTGGATTTTAAATGACTTGAAAGTGCAATTTAAATTTCTTATTGCGAGATAGCTATACGAAGCCTAGTAGTTGGAATCTTCAGAATTTGATTTATGCTCTACAATGTACCAAATATAGCCTTGAAAATACGTATTAGCGGAAAAGAAATGAAACCAAGGAATTGACTTGACCCATTCGCGGACGAATGTTCCTAACGGGGGAAGACTGTGAGACCCCATGTTTTTTTCTTTTTTTCTTACGTAATATACGTAACGTGACGTGGTTATATTAGGTATATATGATTGGGTATAGCACATTGGGAGAATAAGAATGAAAATATGTGGTAATATCAAGGAACTAAACTAAAGCTATAGGTCAAAGGAATCCCTTAAACAAAGGTTCATGGTTAAAGAAATGGCTCGGGTGGCACCCCGCGCGTTCGGAAGGTTTAAGTTAATTTACACATGTGGGATAAGACCAAGAGTGTCTAATATGCTAAGAATAATTTTTTATGAAGTATTATAATATCACACTGGTCACATGTCAAGTTTTGGAATCAAGCAAGTTGCGAAATAAAGGTCGGCAAAGGTTATATTAAATTTCTCTAATAAATTTTCTAATCTTTGGGTCAAATGTATCAGATCATTTCTCCCAATATATAATAAGTTATGGGACCCACAACCTACCTAATCGAAGGTTTATGAGTCTAGTTTGCAACCAAAAAACCCTCACATCAATCCTACATTGGAGTAAAAAGTTATGACTATTTTATCGCGGACTGTCCAGGCTGAAATCGGGTCGCGAACCGGGTCGGGTCAAACAAGTAGTATAAGTCGGCAAATTCGACTTTTCAGACCTAAAAACATTTCATTTTCGTCCTAAAACAGTAATAAAGCTGAAGAGAAGGTTCCATGGTGCTCTTGAGTGATTAAGGTGTGTTTTTAACGATTTCTATCGTTAAAATTTGCCCCCGTGCCTAGGAACGCAATCTCTACGCTTTGCAATCGTTTCCCCCTTCTATTAGCTGTGTTTGGAGCTATTCTTGGAAGATAGGAATTTGTTGTTCTTGCTGGTTCTTCAGGCTTTATACTTGGTTTTCCAAGGTAATCATCTTGGGACTCTTTTATGATCGTTTTTACAAAGTTCTATGGACGTTTCGTCAAGTTAGGGTCATATGGCAAATCTGCCGATTAAACTCAATTATGAACTGTTTATAGGTGCATATAAGCTGCATATATGTAGTGTTTACAAAGCGTAGGACGTAAGGAACAACTTTTGTGAAGGAACTACAGGTATTCAGACGTTCGTTGGAAAGGTATGTTAAGGCTAAGCTCCGTCCTTCCTTTTAGCACGAATTCTGGGAAATTCCTAAGACGTCAAATGTGGTATTTTACTATTCTATTGCTAGAAAGACCTTATGTGAAAGGCATTGGGATTGTAGCTGAAATATTTTCATGATGCTATTAGGTTGATATTCCACTCATTCAGTTAAATAGGGTATTCGACATCTATATATATCATTTTGTCGGCTTTCTTTACTATATGTCTATATATATGAATTCTTATTCATCTTTGGGTTGTGTGACAAAAAAAATAAAGTCATTTAGTATTTGCGATCAGTCCTTCTTCCTTGTTAAAGTGTATTTTAAAATCTCTAAAGTGACATGTCGATTTCCAAAAATTTCAAATATAATTTTTATGTTTAAACTACTAAAACACTTGATTTTTGAAATACTTTCTTTTACTAAATATTAAGAAATCAGGTATAAGGACTAAGTAAAGCACCTTAATCTTTTTATGAACATTTTCAGAGTTAAGTTATCTTTCTAAAAGTCGAGTTAAGTTTTCAAGCTTATTCAAAAGAAAATAAAACATATGAGGTTCCACGAGACAATTGTATGCGATACGAAGGTGATTATGAGATTATGAGGATAAGAGTACCAATGAGCCAAGATTGGCTAAGTTCTTGTTATGGCCTATTATGTGCATTCAAAGTTCATATCATACATGACATATTATGCATGGACTTCGAGCTATAATCGGAGGTAAGGGGCCTATTTGCCCGAAAAACTATATATATTGTACAGATGGCTACAGGTTGGCAATATGATACCGGTTAGCTACCGGAAGAGTCCGCCATTGCTAGCATTTGGTTGGGTATGTCATGCATTTGCATCAATATATATGTATTCACGATATACGATTACACGAGCATACCATGCATATTTGATTACTATGAAGTCGGATGTTGACCATGGAGGCTATCAGAGTTTCAGTGTCAGGTGGTACCTCCATTACTTTTTTTATCAGCTATGTATGATTCTACTGTATGCCTTACATACCAGTACATTTTTATTCGTACTGATGTCCCGTTGCCTGGGTGTCACTGCATTTTTATTTCATGCGTGTAGGTCAAGGTAGGGACTCTGATCGACCCCTCCGCTAGGATTTCGGGATTCAGCTGTGAGTTGGTAAGCTCCACCTCTTCCTGGAGCTTTCATAGAATGGTTACTTTTGTTATACAGTTTGGGTATAGTCGGGGCCTTGTCTCGACAGTGCTTATGACACTCTTAGAGGCTGTTGTGGACACAATATTCTGGGTTTCATTTTGTAGCTTTCAGTTTCCAGCCCATAGGCTTGGCATGTATATATATGTGTGTAGGCATGTATGTCTCCAATCGCGGCCTCGTCGGCCAGCTAGTACTTTATTATTTTGGCTCGTCTACCTTTGTTTATATGGATTATTGTTATTCAGGTCATGACCTTAATGGTCTAGGCTTAGTATTTCAGATGTTGTGCTGCCTGATCTATTGGGCCCCCAGTTTAGTTAGCTA